TGTGGGCTTCCACCACACTGATCACATCAGAGTGAATTTACCTCTCATATAATGAATTTTTTTTTTATATAAAAAGGGTCATCACAGAACAGCCAGTTTGCACATACAGAGGGAAACCTGTATATGCTTGCCCAGGAGTTATAAAGTTTCTGGCTGTTCTTATCTCCAGGGTTCCTGGTTTTCCTTGATTTTAAAAAAAAAAAAAAATTACAAATCCTCTGATTTAACACCCCCCTCTTACTCCACCCCCCCCCCCCCAATCCATGATTAAAATGAAAGGCCTCTTACTCTTCCACCCACAACCCCCTGCTGGAGGACGCCCACAGCTGCCAGGGCTACGGGGCCAGGGACCCAGGTCCACAACCCCCTGCCCCTAGCAGGTGGCAGTGGCTGCTGCAACCAAGCAGAGCCTGGCTCTGCACCTGTCCTCCCCACCCGGCTGTAGCCCCAGGAGGGGCCCACTCCCCTCCACTGCGCACACTTCTGGTGGGCTGGGGGGACTTATGCCCTCCAGATCTGTGTGTGGGGCAGGCTCGAGCTCCTGCCCTGCTGCCCTCCCCTGGGGCCTCTGCAGCCCAGCGGGTATCGTTTGGTGCTGCAGGGCAGAGTGGGGCCATGCTGGAAAGCTGCTTACAGCTGTGAGCTCCACACTGCCCTGTGTTGTTGTCCCTGCTGCAGCCATGTACACAGGGGACACATTGCCAGGGCAGCGCAGAGGTTGCAGCTGCAAGCAGCTTTCCTGTGCAGCCCCACTCTGCCCTGCAGCACTGGGTTGCACCCCCTGGAAATACAGGATTACAAAGTTAGTGCATTTTTAAAGAAATTGTATGTCCAGTATTACGCTTCTGGAGAGTGTGTAGCTGGAGGGATGCTCTAAAATAAAGCTATAATGAAACATTTGTGCAGAAAAAGAAAATAAATTAAGAATGAAGCTAGCCAATGAAAACATTCGTAAACGCCACCAGAGAGGTTGAAAGGTGGGGAAAGGATGGACTAGAACAGTGTTTCTCAGCCTTTTAAGTAGCAAGTACCCCCTAACTTCTGAAGATTTTTAACAAGTACCCCAAAACTCAATATTCCCGGGGATTTTCTAGGGGATTTTGCAAACTAATGTGTGCCATATGTTGGAAGAAGGGCTGTGTATATAAGTCCATGATATGACAGATGTCTGATCTGGTGTGGGTAGGGTTGATACCTTTTACACCAGGGGTGCACAACTCAAGCATGTACGTGGCCTAGAGGTGATGCTGGCCAAAGCTAGGAGGCTAAAGCATGGCATGCCAAATTATTACTGAGGAATTTAAAGTGCCATGCAGTGGCACACCAAATTTTTTGCCATAGTTTTGAGAGGAAAAGAGGGCGAGAGAGAGAGTGTTGAGGTACCTACATACCCCCTGCGTATCTCTCTCATACCCCCAGGGGTACATGTACCACAGGTTGAGAAACTATGGACTAGAAGGCAGTAGGTCATATAGGAATTACTTTGTATACCTGCTGGTCAATTTAGAAAGAATAACCTTATTTAGGTACAGGTTAATGTTTGTTGTTGGTGCGCACTTTTTTTTTTTTTCTGTAACATGATTGTAAAATGTAAAATATTCAAACCTGAACTAAAAAAAAATGGCATTACCTAATGCCAAAGCCTTCAGGAAGGGCAAAATATATTTTGTCTTCTAAGTACATGAATTTAAACTAGAGTTATACCTCGAAAAAACTGGGTCCTAGCTTAGCTTGGAATTCCTTTCTGGAGACTTTGTTATAAGGGCTGTTTCTGTAGTTGCTTTTATGCTGCAAGTCAATTGACTTCAGAAAATTCTAAGATTCAGAAACTTAAGCATTTGGGCAAACTACCAATAAATTAAATAACTCCCAAGTCAAAAATTCAGTTTGTATACTTATTTTTTTTTCTTAAATCTTAAGGACAAAGATCTGATTTTTATCTGGATAAACTGGAAAAGTCTAAGCTGGACAATGTTCCTTCCACAAAAGACAATATGGAAGTTGGTAATATGTTACCAAAAAATGTGTCCACCAGGCATCGCTATTCAAAGTTGAAAACTTGGAATGACCACTGCATCCATAATGTTGGCCATTCAGAAATGCCTGACTTGACTAGAGAATCTTATAAGCAAGATGAAACTGGACTTCAGGAAAGTTTAGAAGACGGTAATATAGAAACTATAGAACCAAATCCTTCTCAACTAAATAAAAACAAGATCAACTTGGAGACGGTGGATCAGGCAAATAAATTAACTGACATGAACTGCTCAGTTGTAGAACTGAAACTTAAACAAATTAAGCTTAAAAGCAGAGAAGACTGTCAAACAAGGAAAAAGAGAGGAAAATCGGAAGGAACTAAAAATCAAAATTCCAGAACAAAAGCCAAAAAGAAGCTAAACCAGGGTGAACAAAATTCTTCAAAAGAAAAGCTGGATTCATCTGTTAACTCAAGAGATGCTTATGATTTTCTTTTGGAGGAGAGTGTCCATATCACACCTTTCCTTCAAAATAAGGTAAATAGTAGGAACAATGATCTGAAGGACAGAAAGGATCTATCTGAAGATGAAATAGACAGCAGTGAGTTAAATGACTCAGAAGTGGATTCAAAAGATAGCCCTTTTGTGCCTTATCAAAGTAAGTCAAAATACAGGAGGAATTTGGAGGACAGCAATGATACAATACCAATCCCAACAAGAGCACAATCTAAGAGACTTCTAGTTTTGAATCAGCAGAAATATTCCTGTGAAGAAGAGACTGAGAGTACTAGAAAAAACAAATCTATTGGTAAGTAAACTGTTCAGAGAGCATTTTGTAAGTTATTGAAATATGCAAGGCACATTTACCAAAATGTTCATATTCCTCCTTTAGGATAAATTGTAGTTTCAATGTGTACTTTTTTCCTGTTTAAAAAAAATCCCTTAAAACACAGCACTTCTATGATACCATTAAATTCTTCACAAATATAATATATTTAAAGATAGTTCAGGTATGAGGCAAATCAGAAAACCAAGAAAGTGTAAAAGTAAAAAATAAGTGTCCTAAATTGCACTATGGTGTAGTACAGGGGTGCTCAACACCCAACCCACAGGCCATATCTGGCCTACAGCACCATGTTATCCAGCCCACAGGGCTCCCCATGAGTTTGGAAACTTGACAGTGGGGAAGGGGTGGCATTTACTCCCCTACTGCCTCCATTTTCAGACCCAATGGGAGCATCAGACCTATGAGAAGCACCAGCCCTGTGCACTGGATTAAGTGACCAATCCCAGCAGGCAAAGATATGAGGGGGTACTGCCAAGCTTTCGGGGTCCAATCCCAAGTATGTGGGTACAGGAGGGGATGGGGCCAGGTCCCTGGCATCCAGTTCCCAGCTGGAGGGGGTAGGGCTAGAGCCCAGTCCCACCATCCCCATGCCAAAAAGGCTGAGCACTCCTAAGGCTTCTAAATGAAACTTCTTTGTGTTCCAGATCAAGACTTTAAACAGCTTAAAGAAAATCACTCATCTAAAAACACCATTATAGAAAGCCTGTAACCTGTTACAATAGGTCATTAGCTTTGCTGTAGTTAAAGTTGTGAAATGCTAGATGTTTCAAAACAGCTCTTCTAGCTACTCTAAAACCCAAATGTTTAACTTGGATTTTTTTTTGCTTAATTGGGATGGAAGAAAGGGTTAGTGACCCAAACTTAGTATCATTAGAACAAGGGATTTCCTACATCTTCCTTAAACATCAGCATTTCAGGAAAATCTCTTGGGATGCATCTAAGCTCTGCATAGAACTTATTTGCATGGACACAGGGCTGCGCTAATGCAGCAGCACTACTTCTAGTTTGGAAAGAGGCACAGCATGTCTTGTACCACAGCACTGCTTTGCAGTGCCAGCATCTCAGCACAGTGCTACCTTGTACAAAATACACTCTATCATCTCCTTACGGTTTCCCTGCCCCCCATGAACTGGTTGATGACTAGAAGTTCCTGCATTATAAAGTTTGGGATCCTGGTGGCCTGACTTTACAACCCCTACCCAGCACTGGCTATCCTGCCTGCCGTGCCCCTTAAGAGAAGCCTGACAGTGAGGCTGGGCTTGCCACATTTTCTCTGCCCCCCAAATAGTTTTTTAGAGGCTGCTATTTAATATGTTGCTTTTTATACCTTGCTCCTCTTCTGGATGTTAGGCTTGTGCAGTTTGGCAGGGCTCCCACTTGAGCTGTTTTCATTACTACCCCCAAGGAGCTTGCTTCTGTTGGTCCTGTTTCCCCTGGATGGGGCAGTTGCTGTCATCAGGGCATAGACACATAGCCAAGTCTGGATGCCCAGATTTAGACCACTAAGGCAAAAAAGTAACAGAATAACCCCAAAGTTCTAGTATACATACAGCTTTTTGTCATGCTAACCTAGATGCTTAGGCAAAACTCGGCCTTGGTGAGGCCGCAGCTGGAGTACTGCGTCCAGTTTTGGGCTCCACAATTCAAAAGGGATGTGGAGAAGCTTGAGAGGGTGCAGAGGAGAGCCACGCACATGATCAGAGGTCAGGAAAACATACCTTATGATGAGAGGCTGAGAGCTATGGGGCTATTCAGCCTTGAAAAACGCAGGCTCAGGGTGATCTTGTGGCCACCTATAAGTTTGTCAGGGGTGCTCATCAGGATCTGAGGGAACGTCTGTTCACCAGAGCCCCCCACGGGATGACAAGATTGAACGTTCACAAACTCCACTGTAACCGATTCAGGCTGGACGTAACAAAGAACTGCTTTACTGTCCGAACCCCCAAGGTTTGGAACAGACTGCTGCCGGAGGTGGTTCAAGCACCCACTTTGAACGCCTTCAGGAGACATTTGGATGCTTATCTTGCTGAGATCCTATGATCCCTGCTGCCTTCCTTCCCCTGGGGCGGGGCTGGACTCGATGATCCTCCGGGATCCCTTCCAGCCCAAATGTCTATGAAAATAGCAGAATGCCACCTCTAGTGAAGACTAAGTGAAAGCAATGTTTTTGGAATGAATGGTTCAGGCAAGGAAGAAAATGTGGTATTGTTCAGCAAATTAGGGATAGTTTGTGTGGCATAGTCTGAGTGTTTGACTTTAGGCCACATGGAGGTAGTTGCCAATTGCTACATGCAATCTAAACTAGAGGCTTTTTTTTGTATCGAGGAAGATGTGGTCTACTACATGAGCTCTCTTCCCAGGGTGTTCTACTAGAGCAGGGGTGGGCAATTATTTTGGGCAGAGGGCCACTTACTGAGTATTGGTAAGCCATCGAGGGCCACATGACAGGAAGCCAGGGGCAGATAAATATTAATTTTTCTAAATTTTTTAAGGGGCCCCACAGGCTGGATAGAATGGGCTCGCAGACCACATTATGCCCACCCCTGTACTAGAGAATCTCAAATGGCAGAATGCTAGTACGTATGCGGTTAGCGTGTTGGGGAGAACTCGGAAGAGGGCAAAATTAAGTTTGTTGCAGGTATATCTGATATACCTTAACACTTGTAGTTCCTGGTTTTTGGGAGTTTTGAGTGTAGCTGAACACAATATTCCAAAGGGGGACAAACCACCACTGAACAGCCTCAATTGTTAAGGTTTGCATTTGTAGTTAATTCCTCCTTTTTTTGCAAATCTTTTTATAAAAGTCTTTTAAAAGAAGGAAACTTATTTTAAAGTGATGACAACTAGAGAATCAACATTGATCTAACTCAAGGGTGGGCAATTATTTGGGCACATGGGCAACATAAGGAGTTTTGCTGAGCTGTCGTGAGGTGGGTCAGCACCCTGTCCCCTACAACAGCTCACCAAAACTCCCTGTGTGGAATGGGGCCATGGGGTGGCAGGCAAAGCCAGGATCGCAGGGTAGGGCAGTGACAACGTGGGGCTATGGCAGAGCCATGATCCACTGCCTGCACAGCCCTGCAGTGGGGGTCCTTGCAGGGAGTGGATTGGGACTCTGCCCCAGCCCTGCACTGTCACAGCCCCAAGATTCCAGATCTGGCCCTGGGCACAGCTCCCTCTCCGCCTGGCTGAGCACCCTGCCCATGAGGCTCCCAGCCAGTCTCAATAGAGATTCTGGGATTGCAGGATGGTGACTGCATGGGACCAAGGTAGACCTACTGCCTGCGGAACTGGGGCTCTTGTTGCCGCCCCACAATCCTGGGGTCTTCATGGAGACCAGCTGGGAGCTGCACAGGCAGGGCGCATGGCCAGGCGGAGATGGAATTGAGTTTGGAGCAGAGATCTTGGGGTGGTGACAGCACAGGGCCAAGACAGAGCTGCAATCTGCTCTTTGCACACTCCTGCCTGTGAAACCAGTGCCTGTCACAGTGACCTGTGGGCAGTGATTTGTAGCTTGGCCCTGGCCCCACTTTGTTCCTGCCACAAGATCCCAGAGTCTTCTCAGCCCCACCCACCTGCCTGTGGCTCCATCCCAGCCACCTGGCCATGCCCTTCCTGTATGGATCTCAATCCTGGCGGTGGGTGCGGAACAGATGGGCTAGAGTGCTGCTGCTCCAGCCCCACTGCACACCCAGGGGGGCCATGTGACCCTGCACATGACACAGTCTGGGCTGCCTCCCACACCTGGGCTAGGCGGGACTAATGGACATACCGCAAGCCAAGCAGAATCCCTCAGCGGGACAGATTTGGCCTGCAGGCCGTATTTTGAGACTAACTTGAGAAATGGTCTGAGATAAATCAGGTGAAATTCATCTAGGACAATAGGGACAGAATAATTTCTTGCACAGATATAGAATGGGGAAGGATTGGCTAGGCTGCGGTGCTGCAGAGAAGGACCAGGGGTTACAATGTGTTCTTGTTGTAAAATATATATACATATATTCAACAGCATATTGGGTTGTATTAATAGTAATGACATTTGCAAACCAAAGGAAATTATTCTCTTTGGCACTGGTGAGGCCTCACCAGGAGTAGTGTGTCTAGTGGGTTTGGACTCCACACTTCAAAAAAAAAAAATGTGGGTTGATTAGGAGTCCAGGGGAGAGCAATAAAAATTATTAGAAACCTGGGAAACATGACTTATGGGGAAATGCGAAAAGAACCAGGGTTATTTTAGTCTGAAGAAGATGCAACTGAGGGAGGGATTTGCTAAGTCTTCAAATACCTGAAGGACAGTTACAGAGAGGATGGAGATAGGTTTTGTCCATGGCTGGGAGCAATGGCCTCAAGCTGCAGCAGGGTAAATTTTAGGTTGGAGATTAGGAGAAACTTTCTTGGTCAAGATGCCTAGAGACATATGGAATCTCCATCCTTGGAAACTTCCAAGAGCAGGTTGTGCAGACACTTGGCCAGGATGGTTTAGTCAGGGGTTGATCCTGCCTTGAACAGGGCCTGGATTAGCTGACCTCCATGAGATCTCTTTCAGCCCTGATTTCCTGTGATCCCAAACAGATTTAATAATTTGCATATCATTTAAGAGTGAATACCTTGTTACTTAAAGAGGTAAGTCCCCCATCTGTTTGTGCCCAGTTTAGCATGGCATTAAAGCTTGTTACTTTGTTATTCAGAGCATTGTGAGAAGTTGCTGATCAAGCCACTTACCATTTTGTTCATGCAGCAGGGTCTCTTCCCAGGCTGTTATTACTGCTGCAACAACCAATATGGGGGGGGGGGGAAAGCATTCCATTATGGGTCTTTCAGGAGTAAGTAACAAGTCCCCAGTCATGTTAGGCAATTTCCTGGCTGTCAAATAAGCCCATTACAGTTTAGATTGCACGTATGTACAAAATGAGAATGCATTTTTTTTTTTTAAGACGTAGCAGATCATATATGGCTTTCTTGTGAAAGCAAAAAATATACATTATCAAATGGGCTATATAAAACAGAACTGAGAGTTGGTAATTTGCAGGTGTGTTTTATCTTCCCCTGTCCCTATTGCTAGGAAAACATGAATACATAGGAAAGCAGAGGGCAGACAGGGCAGGGACTGAACCAGGGATTAAAAGGCCAAACAGCTAATGAAGCGATTAGCTACATCTGGCCGTAGGAGAGAGGGGCAGAAGGGACAATCATGTGACCCTAAAAAGAAGGCTGAGCTGGGGGATTTAAGCCAGTCTCTGAGCAGGCTGGGGAACAGTCCCAACTTGCAGCAGGGAGAGGAGCCTGAGATGAGTTGCAGAAGGCAAACAGAGGCCCTTGCAAGCTGCCCAAGGAAGCTGCAGGTGATGAAAGGTAGGACCTGCAGGCAACACTCTACCCTGGGGAAACTATTTATGAAGCAGTTGGCTTGTGTTTATTTTCCATTCCATTTTGGACTTGTAATTGGAGGACTAGGTTATAGCTGTAGGGAGGAGGCTACAATGAGGGGGTGCCTGAGAGCACTTCCCTGCAATAGATACCAGAAGTTGGCCCCATACCAGAGGGGTGGAGAGTAGCAAAGTGAAAGTGGATCCTTGGGGGGGGGGCTGCTTTCAAGGCAAAGCTGATCCCTGAAGGCTGAGGTCTCAAATAGAAGGCTAAGGTGGAGGGTACGGTCAGAGACAAAGGAGCCATAGCTGTGACAGCTGAAACCCCGAAAAGTGCTTGGAATCCTATATGAGCACCCCCTGAAAGGGGAAGTACCAGAGAGGGAGCAAAGGCCCAGGATGGTGCTAACCTGATCAGCTGGAACATGGGTTTTCTCCTTTAACGAGAAAAACACAGGAAACCACAGGTTTTTGTCTGCAGGCTGGCTAAGTTCCAGCCTGCAAGGGGCTGGGAGAAGCAGGGGGCAGGCAATGCTGCATGCATGCATGCACATGGCACCTAGGCAGTTTAGTGGAAAGTTCCCTCCAGGTATGTCTGGGAGGGAATCGCAGGTGATGCATTGAGGGGGGTGGAGGGCACAGGTGATGCAGGGGGGAGGGGCTTGTGGGCCCCCCAGACTTCTGCACCCACAGTGGGGTGCAGGGCTGCAACTGGGCTGGACCAGCTCCAGGCAGGACCTACCTTCACAGCCCAGTGGGCAGGACCCAGCATTGCCATAACTACCAAGGTGAGGTGCCCCCAGCCCACCCAGCAGCAGTAGGGGGCACAGTTCCACACTGCTGCACCTCACATTGGTGGCTATGGCAATGAAGTGCTCCCTCCCACTCTGGGTCCCACCTACTGGGCTGTGGAGGTACCGACCCACATCACCTATGCTCACACCCCCACCCACCCTCCTGCCCCCATTTTCCACACATGCTGGGGTCAGTGGGGACTGTGGGTTGGGAGTGAGAGACACTGGCAGGGCCAGGGGGCTGTAGGTCAGGAGTGAGGGGCACCAGCAGAGGTGTGAGGGCTATTGCTTGGGAGTGAGGAGCAGTGGCAGGGTGCCAGCACATCAGAGCTGTTCAGCGCCACAAAGCAGTGGGGGGCACAGTCATGACAGGAGCCACATCCTGGTGAACGAAGGGGGCAGGGGAGCTCTGATATTCTATAATTTAAAAAAATCAAAATTAAATGCCAAAATATACAAGTATTTTGAATTTCATGTAGTATAATGATTGACGCACTGTTAGGTTTCCAAATAGCTTTAAAACTAAATATATATCAATAAAACATTGTGTTCAGCTGATATCTATACATGTATCTATAGATGTATATATTAGTAGTGTTTTATTTTAACTGAGGGAAAAACATGGATTTCTAATCAGAGGGTCTGTTTTGTTTTGTTTTTTGTCTTGTTTTTTAAACAGAGAAAACCAGGATCCCTGCTGATCAGGACCCACAAGGTCATGCCCAGACCCAGAGACCACTTTCCCCCAGCAGACAATGGAGCAACATCAAAGTTGTGGCAGGCGAGACGCCTGGAGGTGAGGTGACACCAGGTAAGGACCTACAAGCTGGGTGAACCACAAGGGGGATCAGGTACCAAGGTAGCTACCCCTTCCCTCCCTTGGCTATCACATTCTAGGGAAAACAGCAAATACCCCAGAGGCTAATGATTCCACAACTAGGAAGATCAGCCACATAAGTCTAACACTAGTGAAAGCAGATCAAGTAAAATTGCATTCACCTCTGCATAATATGAATAGAGATGAGAATTCCTCTTCTAGACAAGTATTGTAATATTGCAAAGGGTAATTTTTTTATTATTTTCTATTATCGTAGCACTTAAGAACCCAGTCAAGGATCAAGACTCCATTTTGTTTGGGTGCTGTACCAAAATAAAATCAAATATCTGGAGTGCAATCATTTTTGAAAAGTATTGCTAATATCCACCCTTCCTTCAGGAAGTAATTTAATTTATGCCTTAGGATCTGATTCAACAGAATACTGCTAATGTCAAATAACTTATAAAACTATTGTTGTTAATTTTTAGTGAGTTTTGACATTGGGGAGCTTCTAGAAGACTGGAAACAAGCAAATATGCTACATTTTAAAAAGAATGAATTGGATGGCTTTACAGTAAAGGTTAATGTAAGCTTGATAAGCCTGACATCAATCCTGAGGGAAGTCGTAGTAGGGATAATATGGGACTTGTTCATGTATTAATACTAATGAACATTGTGACAAGACTTATTTTTTTTATAAAACTTATGTTTTTATGGGCGTATACATTTACTGCATAAAAGTATCTAAGAGATTTAAAATTTACATATTTCTTCTTCACATTCTGAATAATGTGAGCCCTACATAAGATGCCTATATTTAGAGAACTAAAAGGGGCTAACTGTTAAATCTCAAAATAGTTCTAAGTGGGGGGTTTGATCTTTGGAATGTCTAATAGATCCCTTGGGGGATCAGGTATTGGCTCAAAGGTCAACAGCAGTGATTAGTAAGAAAAACATTGGTAAAATTTTGCAGATGATGCAAATTGATTAAGTGGTAAATGTTGATAAGGACAGATTGATTTATACAACTGATCCAGATTCCTTGGCAGATTGAACTTGTGAACCTGTTTTAATATACTTAATGCAGTTCTCAAATTAACTGGGTCTCTGACCCCCTTGGGGCCTCTTCAGAGCTCAGTTCTCTCACTGTCACCTTTTGTCAGTGCAGACTTTTTAGGAGCTGCCCTCTAGAGTGGGGGAAGGGGTGGATATTTTAAACTGTAAACTCCTGCAGTTCACTGTGACCTTACTGACAGATTTCACTTCATTTTAACACTTGCAGCTCTTCTTACTTAGTTATTCAGTGACCGTCCAGCTCATAAAGCGGTACTTCTCAAGAAGGCTGTCTGTTCTTAAAATGTTTTAAAACAGAATAAGGCTATACCCACGTTTAGCTAACAGGATGTATCCTTCTCCTGGAGGCCTCAGCAGTTCAGAAGCATTGCAGGTTCTCCACAGGGCCTTCATCTCTGTTATAGCCTTCTTTTTTTCAAAAGCAGCATAAGGGACAATAGCCCAGGTCCAAGCTAGTAGTTTTCTACCGTTTCAACCTACGCTTTCTGCCAGAGGGATGAAATTTGGAACAGTTTGCTACTTGCATTGTTTTGGGAATTTGCATTAATTACCATGTTGGCTTTAACTCCTGCAGAAAGCTTGCTCCTACCTTATTGTATTTCTGGCTCACTAGGGCAGGAGCAAGCTCAAAAAAAAGACATGTAACAAATACAACAGCATTCTTTGAATATTTCGTTGCATTAGTCACAGCATCCAAAATTAAACTCACCTAAGGACAAAGGCTGTGGGTCATACTTAGGATGGGGGTTATAACCCAGAACAGAGGTGGGCAAAATGTGGCCCGGGGGCTGGATGCGGCCCGCCAGGCCATTCTATCTGACCTGCAGCACCCCTAAAATTATTCTGGCACGCATCCAGGAGGGGCCAGCAGGGAACAGCATGCTCAGGGGCAACCAGCACGGGTTCATCAGCGGCAG